GTTCCCTTAGCGGCGTCGACGAGGCGGCGTCCCACCACCTTTCGATGTCCAAGGACTGCCTGACGGTGTTTCAAAAGATCTTGCAGCACTACCGCTTGGAGTGCAGAGTGTATCCACCACCCGACAAAAGTCTCACCAAGTTCCAGGCCCTGAGGTGGAGACAACTGCAGACAAATACCCTCCCCTGCCCGGCCTTTCTGCGGCATATCTATCCCACCGTCTTCGACGGGAGTTGCGCCCGCTGCCCGCCACCAGACCCCGCCGACGGGGGGAAGCCCGACCAAGGCCACCATCGCACAGTTGTTTTGGGAATGCCCCTTCGACCTTCCCTCGCCTACTCTACGGGACTTCGTCACCCACCTTCGAGAAGGAGAAGAGCACCCGCTAGGTCCCCCTTGGACCGTGCTTCCCCGAAGCTCGGACCCACAGATCCAAGCCGAAGTGGTCTCCCGAGCGGATAAGACAGCGACGGAAATCACGAAGACCCTACAAAAAGCGAACGAGCGTCCGACATTCGACTTGGCGTGAACATCGGTGCATGTGCATCCCTTCCAGAACTGAGAAAAGCCGCCTCGCATGCACTCCTTCTTTTTTCAGGAACACAATTATTTTCTTTTTGGGAAGCGGCGATAGTTGAACGGCTATCCTGCGGCTTCTTGTTGTGGTGTTCCAATAAAGCTGCTCCTCTCTCTCTCTCTCTCGGGAAACAAGCGGTGGAGGTGAAGGAGGTTAGAAAAGCAGATGGTTTGGAGTTTCCTCCAGGCTGTCGCGTCTTGTCGGGTGAGGGATTTGTGGGGAGGGCGGGTATGGTTCTGCGTGGCACGCGGTCGTACTCAGTGACCTGGGTGTACGTATCTATGGGCGGGTTAGGTGGGTTGCGAGTCGAGTCCCTCGCATGGTCGTCAAGAGGCCGGTCATGCCGTCCCTCCTGAGGCAACGCTCGGAGAGTCGCGTCTCGGGCTAAGGCGTCTGCCGCCTGTAAGGGAAGCATGGCCGGGGGTCCATACAATGCGGACCAGCGGTAGTTTATTGTGGTCTAATGGGGAAAGAATTGATTTACTCCAAGGGGAGAACAGACCTCCAGCCCAGGCTCAGCACGCGGCCTGTGAGTCGGTCAGGATGGTGACCGTGGTCGCATCCGGATCAAAGTTTGGGTTGTCGTGTGTGGTCGATATAGCCAGTGCTATCGCGGTCTCCTCGGCCTCCGCGCAGGATGAGTAGCCACGGAGCGAGGCGACGGTTCCGTGCAGCCGTCCGAGTCACACACTGCGACGCAGCGACAGCCCGAGGCAGAGGTGTACGACGCCGTGTCCGTGTACAGGATGTCCGGGTCGTGGTGGTAGCGTTTGCGGAGGTAGCGGACGCGCGCGAGTCGCCTACCCGCGTGCGCTTGCGGGTGCATGTTTTTGGGGATGGGCATCACCCGTACCTTCGCGGCGATAGTCGGTGGCGCGGGCTTCTGCCGTCCTTCTTCGATTAGGGTAGTCGGGACTCAGTACTGTGGGGATTGTGATCCCTCAACATTCTGTCGCGTCAACGTTTAGGCACGCCGTGGCGGCCGCGCCGACGTAGCGAGAGGTGGCGCTGCTTACCACTGTGAGTGGCATCCTCTTCTCCCCCTCTGGGACTATTTTTCGTAACGAACCCCCGCAGAAAGGAGACAGACGTGTCGCTCCTTGATTGGCCACTTCGCCCCCGCCGTTATTTTAAAACCAGCGGACAGCAGGATCTCCGTTTCTCTCTTCTTCCTGGGATTCGGCGACGGCGACAACGGGGAACCGTCCGGCGCACCGGTGAGCGTTTACCCCGTCCTTTGTGTCTTTGTGAACGACCGTTCGGCCGTGGGCGATCTCCACAACGACGGCGTTCACCAGCTTATAGCCGCTGTTTCCTTCTTTTTTGTTTTTCATTGTCAATCAACAGTTTATCACCGTTACCAACGCGTGACTGGTGTCTGTTTTCGCTCAACGAGCAGAGCGTCTCGCCGTGAACGTGGTACTCCCAAAAGCAGTGGCCCTAAGGAGAACCACAGTACTCAGGGCGGCGGAGGAGGGCTCTGCCGGTCGTCGTGCGACCGAGCCGGGTCATCTGCCCGGTCTGCTGAGCTTCAATGAGTTCCTCCACCGCGTTGTGGAGGCCTATGTTGGAGGAGGCTATCTGTAGACGCGTGTTGCGGAAGGCCGACTGCTGTCTTAACTGCTGTGCGGAGCGTGACGTCCAGCGCCTCCACCTCGCGGCGGCGGAAGTTGTGAAAGGGGGCGTGATAAGCAACGCGGCTCACGAGGTCACGAGGAGCGCCTGGACCATCCTGAGGGTGTCCTTTTCCTTGAGACCCCTGCGCTTGTTGGTGACTCGGCGGATCAAGTGAGCTATCTGACGGCACTGCCTGCGCAGCATCTGGATGGTGTACGTTGCCTTCCCATCCCGTTGTAGTTGGAGGCCCAGGATTCTGAGGCGTTCCACTGTCGGGACGGGCCGGCCTTTGATGGAGACCTCAATCCTCTCGTTAATCTTGGTCCTGGCTTTACCACGGATCAATAGAAGCTCTGACTTTTCCACCGAGCATGACATGCCGGCCGCTCGGGCGTCAGTTGGGTAGCCTCCGCCGCCTCCTACAGCGCGTCTTGGACTTCTCCTTCTGAGCCACTCTCGATCCAGACGGTAATGTCGTCCGCGGAGAGCGCGTGGTGGATGCGTGGGATCGCGTTCAGTATTGTGGGGAGCCCTGCCATCGCTATGTTGAACAGGGTGGGCGAGAGGACGGAGCTCTGGAGGGTGCCCCTACCGGTGAGCGGGATCAGGTCAGATCGCTGGTCTCCAAGGCCGAGGGTGGCGGTTTGGTCCGCGAGGTACGAGCGCAAGTAATCGTACGTCCGCCTCCAGCACCGTGCGCGTGACAAGCTGGCAAGAATCGCGTCGTGCGACACGTTGTCAAAGGCGCCCTTGAGGTCAAGAGCCAGCACCGCCCGGGTCTGGGCCGTACCGGGGTAGTCGAGGACGTCCCGTTTAAGCTTAGGAGGACGTCCTGGGTGGAGAGGTTCGGCCGGAAGCCGAACATGGAGTCTGCGAAAAAGCCCGTCGACTCCGGGTGCGGCTGAAGCCGGCGTAGCACCACGTCCTCCATGAGTTTACAGATGCACGAGGTAAGTGAGATGGGGCGGAGGTTTTGGAGCGACAGAGGTTTGCCCGGTTTGGGAAGGAGCGTGATGTCTCATCGCTTCCACAACGCGGGCAGTTCCCCGGTCGCCCAGACCCGGTTGAAGTATTGTGTGAGGGCCGTGATAGAGCCATCGTCAAGGTTTTTAAGGAGCCTGTACGTGACCCCGTCCTTGCCCGGGGCGGTGCTGCGCAAGATCTTTGGAGCGCGTTTCGGACCTCTTGCTCGTTGATGTCTACGTCGAGGGGGTGGGGTATGTTACCGTCCTCATGCGGGTACGGCGCAAATCGGGGCGAGGGCCGACCGCGACGTAGCGGCCTCTGAGCGTCGTCCCAGAGCTGGTCACCGGTCGCGCTTTTCAGGAGAGAGCGGAGGAGTTTAGTGATGGCCTTGCTCAACTCGATCCAAGATGTAGAGGGGTCAAGCGATGTGCGCAGCAAGCTCCATGTTTTCTTCGCGCCCAGGGTGCCCTGCAGCTGGACACAGAGTGTGTTCCAATTAGTTTGCGTGAGCTCTTCGGCTCGGCCTCCTGTGTGAGGTGAGCGACACGTGCGCGGAGTTTGCGGTTGTGTTTTGTCTTTCTCCACCTCTTCGTGAGACCGCGGCGTGCCTCCCAGAGATGGAGAAGGTGGGGATCGATGATGGGCGCTTTGCCGGTCGCGTAGACTTCCTTGGTCGCCCGTTCGACGTCTGCCTGTAGCCCTTAGACCCACTGATCGAGCGCGTCGCCGTCGTTGATCGTGTGGTCCGCGGTTGGTGTAGTCGTGCGGATCTGACGGAACGCGTCCCAGTTCACCAACCGCTGCGGCCGGCCCCGCTTGTGGTTGAGAGCGACGGGCACCCGGGTCTCGATAATGAAGTGGTTCGACCCCAGGCTCTCCCCGAGGTTCGTCCAGGCGCACTCGTCGTTCGTGCGTTCGAGCGAGCGTGAGGTCCGGGCAGGTGTCGCGGCTGACACTGTTGCCTATCCGAGTCGGTTGGTCGGGCTCGTTTAGGAGAGTCAGGCGGTGCACATCGATGGCGTCCATCAGCCGTCTCCCCTTTATTGTAGCCTTGGCGTAGCCGAGCGCGGGGTGCGTAGCATTGAAGTCGCCCACCATCACGAAGTCGTCGGTCTTCCCGCGGGCGGCCCGTATCGCGTCCCGGAAGAGGTCGCCGAACACGTCTCGCGGTCGGCTCGGAGGCCTATATATATGTTTAGTAGAAAGAGTCCTCTATCGTCTCTCCCCTCTGGCAGGAGTTCGAGGAAGACATGCGGCACTGGGCTACTGAGTGTGTGTACAATTACCGGAATATGTTTTGCCACGAGTGTGCTGACGCGAGGTTTGTCCTCCACGTCCGCCCGTTCCTGACTGAATACAACGTATCCCGACAGAGTAGGCACGCAATCTACTTCCTGCAGTGCCACGGCGCCTGGTTTGTGTTCCTGTGTGGCAATGAACTGTGTGAGGCTGCCGAGCTTGCGGCGGTACCCCCGGCAGTTCCACTGCCACACTCGGGTTGCATGTTTACAACGCTTGTGTTTGCGAGGAGCTACTGTTGAGTTGACTGTCCATCCTGTTGATTGGAATTTTTGGTTGGTTGCAGAGCAATGTCCGGTTGGAGGTGTGATTGGATTGTTGTTGCTTGTGTGGGATGGAGTGCGAGGGATTCGAATCGCGACAATTTGTGTTTTGTTGATTATTGCCCGTCTTCATGGTGGTGTTGGTTTTGAGGGATGTTGACTTCCGTGGTGGGAGACGGAGGCGGGGGTCCGTTCAAGGGCTGGACGGTGGTACGGGTGCACTCGTCTAGTTTCGCGGTGGTCGCGCTCGCTGTGTGTGTCAATTTGTAGGAGTTTCTTTTTTTTTTAATCTGGTTGGGGGGAATTACGTCGGGGGTCGCTGATAGCGGCCAAGACCAGTTGGGGAAGTTGCTGTACAATTTATTGAATTATTTGCTGTTGAACCTCCTTATCTCCTGCCTTAGATGCTGCCGTACCTCTGTTATGAGAGCATGTAGCTCGTCACGTGGTTGTTTTTGGAGCGTTTCGGCCTAGCTTTTCTATGAACTGTTTGGCCTCAGCTCTAAGTTCCTGTCGGAAGCGTCCAAAATCTTTTTTCGGTTCTGAATTCGGTTCTTCGGTTCTGAATTCTTGCAGGGATTGGGCGTTCGCTGTTGGGTATTCGCGGGGGTGTTTTGTTTGGACCCTTCGGTTGCTCGTGTGTCAGTTGCGTGAGCGGTTTTTTGCTTTGGGGGAGAGGGAGGTTGGCGGTGTTTTCGCTCCACGGTAGTAGCGTCAACGTATTGCAAAGAAGAGAGGCATGCAGGACAGGAGGAGTGAGGAGGGTTAGGAGGCCGCGCTGCCCAGCTCACATTTGCGCCCTTGTGTCCAGGCTCCGGGGTGTTGATCTCTGGTTGGGTTTGCTGGTCCGCCCGTCGTTGCTGTCTCTGATGGCTTTGCGATCTGGTCGAGGACTGGGTTTTGGCCTTGTTGGCATTGTCGCTTGTAGCCGTTTATTTCTGGAATAGCGTTCCTTTTGGTGTGGCTCGGACATGTCCCGGGGGAGGACCTGAGCTGCTGCGATCAAATTCCTTCTTTTCCACGTTAGTGGGGATGGTGGAGTCGGGGCTCACACGGTTGTAGCTTGGTAGTTCCAGACAGTGGTGGCTCGCCAAGCGGTGGGGGCGGCGACGGTGGAGTTCGTTGTTGCTGCTCTTTCTCCCGCAGATTCCGCGCGACGTGTTCCTTGTTGTAGGGGGCCCTTTGGCGGGCTGGGCAGTGAGGGTCGGTTGCCGGGTGTTCGCCTCCGCAGTTAACGTAGTGGGCAGTGCATTCATGGGCTCCGCCGGGCGCGCCGCACGTAGCACAGCGGCGCTGTACTGGTTCTGGGTAGACATAGGTGCGGTGTCCCAGGCCTAGGCACACGCCGCACACTTGCTGCCTCGGCTGGTACGGTCGGCAGGGGTATTCCCCGCCCGATAGATACATAAAACGTGGTACCTTGATGCCTTCGAAGGTGATGACAGCGGTGTTAGTTTGTCCCATCATCCGGGCATAGAGGATGTTGATCCCGGTGGCACGTAGATTTTCAGTCAGTTCCTCGGCCGTAGGCCGCGTTTCGACACCAGAGATCACGCCCCTGCACGAGTTGTCGGGGACTGCCAGGTACGCCGTAACATCGTACTGCTTGGTGCCAAAAGTGAGTGCTGAGATCTGTTGTACACGGGTAGAGGATTCCATGCTGGTGGTACTCACGACGACCCGATTCTGATCTCGACGGATCCTTATGGTGGCTTGGGCCATCTCGGCGGCGGACAGTTGGGCGATCGCGATGATGGCTTGCGTGATCTTTTCCGTCGTCCAGGAGCTAAAATTGAGTCCATCTCTCGGCCGGGTGACCACTTTGTAGTCGTCAACTGGGAGTGGTGGCAGCCTCTTCTGGCGCAGGGCCTGTGTTTGATTCCATCGGCTTCTATTTTCTTGGTTATAGAGGAAACCGGAGCCACCTGTTCTTGACGGGTATCCCCGGTTGCCTCCATGTTGCCCTTCGGGCGATTCCTGCAGCTGCCGTCATCTTGCCGGCTACGGTGTAGTTGCTAACCCCAGCTGCTGATGCTTTTTCTTTCTCTATAGTTGGAGTTGTTGCTTTCGGGCTCGTCGGCTGACCACATCCGTCCAGGACAGTTGATATTTTCCCTCCTGTTGATGTCGAGGGTCAACGCTTTTGGGAGGTGTGGTGCCGTCGCTCAGGCCGGGGCCTTCACCGGGATCGGTCGCGCATGCTTCTTCGGTTTCACCAGTCTGAAGGCCCGGGGGTTTCGTGGTAGCGCTCTCCATTCGGTTCGGAAGGCCCGTCCACAGAAAGGGGCGCGCCGCTCGTAGAACGAGACTCTTTCTCGGGAACTCCCCATGTGTTTTCGGGAGACGCGTGGTGAAACGCACTTCCGTGTGGCTGGTATACACGCATAGAGAACGTGTGAGAGGAGGAGATGAGAACGTGCTGGGGCGACAGAGCGCCGACCGCTGATTGGAACGATAGCGGGTAGACGCCAAAGTCAGCTGTCTTTGCCTCTACTCGCTGTTCGAAGAGAGTTCGAACGCCGAGCGGCGGGTACACTGTGCGAGGACCAGACGACGTCCCCGTTCACTCCAATCGAAGAAAAGCGGCGGGTACAGACAAACGCAGCTAGCCTTTGCGTTTACCCCCTACTCCTTCCACTTGGACCCCCGCGCGCACTCCTCTGCTGCTCTCCCTTAGTTTCGCCCCGTACAGTCACCGACAGCTTAGAAACACGGGGCGCGGCGAGCTCCGAGTATCTCATTATCGCTCCGTAGCCAATGAGACTGCGGCGTTTGCGGATAAGGACGCCGAAGTACGAAGCGTGCGCGTAATGCGGAGCGCAACTTCGTCTGCTTCTTGCGCAGGGGTAGCGGTGACGACAGAACAACACCGAGCTCTGATTGGCGCTGATTGGTGGGATGGTGGATAGACCTCAAATGCTAGATGCCTCGAGGTCTACCCACTATAACCTTTCAATCCGAGCCAATTAGGGCTCCGCGTTCTGATGTCACCACAATTCCTCCAAAAGAGGTGGACGAAACTTTCGCTCGGCATAGGGACCCAAGTGGGATGAATGCGGTCTGCGAGCCTGAGGCCAGATTCACGAAACGACCTTACGCCAAAAATGTGCCTACGACAAAACGTAAGAACGAATTCGAATTCACGAAACGAAATTATGGTAACTTTTGCGCAAGTTACGACGGAATCCTTCGACAGCTCGGGAGTTGTCTAACGTACTTTTTACGATCAAATTAACATGGCCGACAGCGTCGCTCAGTTACTTGGTCGCGACGACCAGCGGACATTTACTTTTCTACGTGCTGTCCTCGCGCGTCCCGACTCCAAGCAGCAAGTAAAAAAGAAACGTATTTGAACCCGACCACGACGAACATGGACGCTAAATCCACAAACACCCGGGAAAAGCTAAAACGGCAACGATCCCATCGACCAAGCGAGCTCGGCAGAATATAGGCCTAGCAGGCACTCCGATTTGTTCCGATGCAGCGTTGCTCCGAAAGTTCTTGGCCAAGACCGTCTGGCCACTACCGGCTGGCTTGCTTAAGGGAATATGCCCGCGCGACCCTTGTGGACCCTTCCCGTATTAATAGTTTGATCGCTGACCTCGATTTTAGATTAAGAGGCCAATATCTTCCCCTTGTCATGTCCTTGGTTTACGAGACAGCAGTGACGAACGCTGTCGTCGAAAAGGGACTCGCATCGATTCTGTATCCTTGTTTTGTGTGATACATATGCAGAGCTCAAATAAACGCCGTATGGATTACCTTCGCAACACGGTATGTACACTTTGTTATTAATATGCCATTTTTACTCTGAAACGACGGTGCGTCACTGTCGAGCTCTAACTGCTTGTGGAAGCTACGCGATGCCGGTCCACCCTTTCTTTGCCGAGTGTCAGTAGCTCACTACCGAGTTGGAATCATAAAAGATCGGTCCCGAAGCGCTTACCAAGACGCGGTCCAACAGCGGTAATCCAGCTCTTCGATCAAGCGCGCGTCCGCTCCGAGTGTGAACAGGTATTTACGGCGGCTCTTGCCGACATTCTCGTAGTTCAACTCTACTTTTTTTTTTTTTTTTAACGTCGGCTTGATCCTGCATCTCCGAAGCCGCGAAAAACGCCGCGGCGATTTTTCTATCTACGCCGCTGTGCAAACGACTGGCACGTGCCGCCTTTCACCAACGATGACAGTTGTGTTGATTTCGTAGCGATCGAGTTCGTACCAGTCAACGAAGGCGGTTATCTCGGCCTCGGCATTTGGGTGCGTTTAAATCGTGTTAACGTCGACATATCACTGCACGGACATGCACCCCAGACGAGCGGTGGCGGAAAGGCCCGCCTGTGTTTGTTATTAAAATTCCACGCGCTCCGAACTGCTCCGAACCATGCCGAGCTCTCCGACTGGCTGTCGGGGTTGCCGAAGACGCCGTCGCTATAGCAACAGCCCGCTCTCGCGGGGATCGGGAGCTTGCGTTACACCGGAAGTTCTAGTTTTTCCGTACGAGAACGTCGCTTTCCTCCTCTCACTTAAGAACGTTTTTGTGAATACCGATTTCTTCTCTTCTTACGGTGTTCTTAACTTACGAACGTCTTAGCTACGTTGCCGTAACCTAAAAAGGTCTTCGAGATCTCGCGGCTCCTGTGTAAACGCAGACAGATTACGACAGAACGCAACGTGTGGCTCACATTGCAGCAACAAAAGGTACGCCATGAAAACGTATACTCCGCTTTGAACAAGGGAAAGGCTGGCACTGTCATTTGCAGCAACGAAGGCGGCGACGACGGTAATCGACGCAGGATGCCCAGTCGACGAGTGGAAGGCACGGGGACGCTCCTCCGCGCACTGCCAAGTCGGCGTTAACGGGACCCGCTGCGAGGAAGGCACCGTGGCGAATGCCGGCCGGATTTTCGGTCGACCCGGCAAGATCGCTCAGTTACCGCGCGGCAGGCGCGGCAGGAACAGCCAACGCCATCTGCGGGCACGAAGGCAAAACGCAAACCATCGGAGAGAAGGAAGAAAAAAAAAACGGCGATTTTGGGTTTCGGCGGTTCCTGCCCAGCCAGCCAGTCAGTCAGCCACGTGCACTGCTGCCGCGGGCCTCGTTTTGCCACGCATATCCACGGCTGTGAATCGCGAGCGTTGTTGTTTTGCGGGATTCGGTGCTTGAACTCTCGCGGGTATTGTGAAAGACGCGTCGACAGCTGGCGTATATACGTGACGTAGCGCACGGCGCTGCGTCGTAACTCAAGAACGGCGTGAACGGGTGTTTTGACCACTAAACAGGTTGAAGGAGACGTCTCCGCCCGCAGCCTTTAAAATTGCAACATCTAGCCGTAAAGAAAGGAGAAAAAAAATGTCTTGAAGGCGAGACGCGTGGAGATAATAAGACGCTCTGCGCTTGTTAAGAGCTGTCATTGCCTACAACATCGTTTAATCCAGTACGGTATCAGTGCACGTAAGCGACCTGACAAGACTATACGTCAGAGGTCAATTCACGCGTGAGTGTTGACTTGCGCTTTCTTACTGCAGTCGGTGGCAGGATAAAAACGCGATGGATGGCCCGCCACGAGCGCGAGTTTTCTGCCTTCGATAGCGCTTCGTCGTACGGGCGCAAAACGCCCGGTGGAAGGCAAGGAGCGCACGCGTGAAGGCGAAGCGTCCGCTCGGGTCACCGGCTACAGTCTAAGAACTCTGCCGCGTCTACTTCCCCGCCACGCACTTGGGAAAGCCAACCCAATAAAGAAGTGAAATGTTTTAAACAAAAATGAAACGGTCTGCGTTGTGACACACAGAGCGTGACGTGAGTACCTGAAATAATATGTGCTCATTCCTCTGTTTTGTTCTCATTTTTGATAGGTTTAAATATATAGTTTAGCATCGTCATTCACCGAGCTGTACGAAGTGCTGCGTGGAAAACTTTCAAGATTCATCTCCGGTTCTTATTTTGCATCGATAGGTACTCCTTGAATTGAAATGGTAGCCATGCACGCTTAGCACCACGAAGCGTGGATGTGCCGATGACTCGCGGTCGTGACCTGACGTCAGCTCCCGTAACACGACGCAACGCAAGCAAAGGGCACAACGGGACTTTGTAAGCAAGTACGGGCGTAACACGTAGATGCGCTCTACCACGTGCGGTTCCGACGTAGTACGTGAGGTCGCTCGTGGTTCAGCCCAGCCGAGGCGCCAAAAAGATGTTGTCATCACCGGCGTTCCGGAACCCCGATTCGCTTCCTGTCCGCTCTCATTGCTGTTTACCCTGGAATGTCTCCCACTCAGTTCCCCGATTATCTCGCGATTCCTTACGGGCACCGCCATTTTCGGGCTTAGTGCAGAGCAATAGGAAGTCTTGCGCATTATTCAAGCGCTCCGCGAAGTAGTTCCTACAAAATTTGGTCGTTGATGGAAGAAGCGATGCTTTTAGCTTTTGAAACGTGTACGTCGTTATAGAATGACATAAATCTAATCTAGGGTGCACCCACATATATCATAATGAACCGATGTCACTAAGCGTTCGGCGCACGTGTGACGCCGCCATAACATTAGTTCACGGGATCGAGGCAGATGGCCGTGCATCCGAGGGTTCGTATCGTCGTGTGCTCCGCCATAGCCTCCTCTATACTGACAAAGCCTGGCAGATCGCCACGAGACGTGGCCGCCGAAATTGAAAAGGTAGAGCGGCAACCAGCGGATGAGAGGAGAGCCACGTGACGGATTGCCCCGCTGCGGCGAGACGCCGAAACACACTTCTCCCGAGCGATGGAATGTCCGCTCGCGCTCCTCGCGTTCCTCGCGCTACCGTTTCTTTTCTCGTAGGGTTTGAAAGCCATGTTTCGGGCCCTCGCCGCTGCAAGAGCTGTGTGCTAACGTCCAGGTTCCCCGAGAAATGCTCTGTGCTACCGGATCCTCGCGCTCCAAATCTGCGACCGGGTACTCTTTGGCGTCGAACTGCCAGGCTTAGCGAGCAGAGAGGAGGCTATGGCTCCACATGGGGGCGTATAGATCTCCCGCGCGGTTATCGCACGTGCAGAAAGGCTAAACTTCCCTCGATGCGTTGCGGCAGCGATGGCGTAGTCAAACTGGCTGGTGGGATCGGTCTTTTAATCACACGAAGGGGGAAAATATAGTAACGTTGCGCGGGGAGCCGAACTACTTTAATTATCTGAGTCCGCCATTGCTTGGACACGTACTCTGAGCATGCATCAGGGGCGGACCCAGAACTCCATTTTGGAGGGGGAGAAAAATTTGTAAGGATACTATTCTCCCATTCTTTCTTGTGCACCG